TTGAAATGTTTATCATAAAAATTATGTTTAAACATTTTTAATGATGATTCTCCTATTAAAAAATAGGTCCCAAGTGAAGAATGCAAATGGTGTATGTGTTTTGCATAGGACTTCTAGCAGATGCATTTTCGAGGCCCTGTGCTGTCTACCCTAGTTGGTAGTATTCACGGTTTTCCTCAGTCTTTTGGATTATTGCTGATTTAGTGCCTAAAACTAGGCCATTTAAACTTTCAACCAATCACTGACTATAATCTATCTTTGTGTGAAAGTGGATGAATGGGAAATTATAATACAGAAATCAATATAATTTGAATGGCATCTCTATGTTTCTGTTCACCCATTGTTCCTGCTTCTTTTCACTCATTACATTTTCTTCCTTTTTTGTCTTGTCTTTCTATGTAAGCATACTACGATATTTATTTATGTAACTTAAATTGCTCTAGCATGATATACAGTGCATTATTTTCAATAGTGTTCTGATACTTGCTGTCCATCCCTTATCTTTGTATATGTCATAGTCATTATTAACTTTCTTTCTAGCATTAGGTCCATTGAGACCTGCTACTGATATTGCAAAATAGAACCCATCCCTGGCTTCAAAGGCCTTCTCAGATCTATTGGTAGATTACTTTTAATCTTGTCAGAGATCATTCTGTCAGCATATTCCTTTCCAATTTCTTTTTATTCCATAAATTTCGTTATTTGTGAACTGTGTAGTTTCCTCATAATTTCTTCTTGTCTCTTATGGTCCAATACAGCTCACAAAATATATTTATGCTGGTATCAGGTTCCTCTTATAATTTCTTACTGTCCATGATTCAAGACTGTAAGATAATTATGGTCAAACAAGTGTCTTATAAATTTTATTATCATTTGACTAGAAACTAATGATGGTTTGAAGATCTGATTTATAATTCCCAATATTCTGACAACATTTACAGTTTCAATTTTAACACACAGTAGGTTTAATTTGCTGCTATTTCTGCATTATATATTTGTTAACACAAAATTACTGAAACACTGCACACTGATGTTAACATAAGCTAAGGGAAAACTAATATATTACCTTGTTTAATACAGTGTACAAGAGTCACCTTTCATATTAATGTGGTTTGAATATCTTTGTTCCTTTTGCAGATGCCCTTTTCTTCATAGTATGGAGAAGTTGTCAGTCTATACATGACCTAAATGTCAGATATGTTCTAATAAGAATTTTGATATATTTTAGTCTTCTGTACTTATTTTATGAGGAATATATTTATGTTACCTTTGTAAGCTGACATTCTTTTCCAGGATCAACATTTCCTAGTGTTTTCAGTTCTATATATATCAAACCTCACTTTTCAGTTATTTGATCATTAATTATCATAATTAAGCTCTTAGTGATACAACAGATTAGCTTACTTTCTTTGATACATATAATCACACTAAGGAAAACTAAAAAGGTTTTAATGTATAATAGTGTAGTTCCTTGATAGCTATTTTTAATTAGAATATTGATTCAAATTTCAGCAACTTCAATTTGGAAATATCTATGGCACTGCTTTTTGCATGTCATGAGGCAATACAAAAGCACATCTTACTTTGTACATTTCACTTTCACACCTGTACTGAAACAACAGTTTAACATTCTCTTGCAACTACACACAAAAGTGGTGGGTGCAGTTAGAACAAAGGACCTCAATGTTCATTTTCTGTTTGAAGTGCTGTTAATTACATGTTCATAAGACAATTTTCTTTTGTGAAAGTTAAGTTCTAAAACAAAACTGTTTGGCAGGTCATATCTGAGAACCACTGCATAAAGTAACATATGTTGTGAACACATTACTTATCACTGTTCACACAGTAACGTCAACAAACCTCTGGACTCACATATCCCATGCTAACTGATGTTTCAGACCACAAGCACACCCAAGGATGAAATATCTTCTTCTGTTAAGATTATATAAAAATTTTTAATGCTTTTGATTATTGTAGAAACTTCTTTAATATTGTAAAAGGCATAGATGCAAGCCAATTAATAACACAGGAACCATTTAACACCACATTAATTAAAAATTTATTGTATGTTGAAAATTTTAAGAATTTTAAAACTGTCAACATTAAAGAAAGTAGCCATTTTATATCACAGTTCAGCATTATAATAAATGGTTATAAGTGCCAATAATGTATTAAAAATATGAAGAAGTTTCAGGTATGTATGCAATAAATTTGAAGAAACATGGAAAATTATGTTAACAGGTACAACATTTATTTACCTGTACAATCACATCAATTGCAAAATTAAGAGAATTTAATATATTTCAGATGAATTTAAAGCAGAGCCATCTTAATAAAATGTGACTGGATAAAACATTTCATATTATACACAAATTGATTGTCTTGTGAACTCTTGAATATGGTGTACATACACATCACTGATGTACATTTTATTTTTTAAATTCTGAACATTCTGAATCCCTGTATTTATTTGTTCTGTTGGACTGGTGGTAGAAGATCTAATGTCCAAAGTTTGAAGGTGTCAGTTTTCCAAGAAACATGGAATGCAAAATACATTTCTCAAGGAATTAATATCTTCCATAGACAGATTACAAACATATTATAATTTTTGTATTTCCTGGAGAATGTTCCTTGTGTAAATTATGGAAATATCAAACTGGACCACAGTTGGTACAAAAAGCATAAAGCATAAGTGCATTGCATTATGGGTATCTGGAATCACTTGTGTTCATTTATTTTATGTATACAAATCTAATAAAAGTTGCATAGAAAATTACATTTTCCCTCCAATGTGCATTAGTGAACATCTTATAAATGAAGTACAGCTGTGAATTTAGAAGGCAACAGCATACTGGATGTTTCCAAATATAAGTTCATTAAGTGACATGACATTGAGCAATTTTATAAATTAAATTTTTGATCAGTTATATACATAACCAAAAGCATGTCCTATTGCATTCTGAATTCATGTATATAAACATGAGAAGTGTTTCTTGTAAGTATGGTGGATGAAGAAATGCAGTTCTCTACATTTAAATATTCAAATTTTTAGTATCAGGAAAATAACAGTACAAATTATCATACTGAACTGTATAGTGATGAATAAGCAAACTTTTAACTACTTGGTTATTTCATTATTTGTTATGTTATTTGCTACCATCAATCAGTAATAAACAAATGGAATGCATATGAATTTGTGAAAACTGTAAGCTCAGATCATTTGTTGTAACCTTCTACCTAAGCTTTATGCTTACATCTGACACACAGAACATTAAGGTTTATTCTCACTATAAAATATCATATTTCTTTTTCAGAATGCTTACAAATCTAACTTAAGTAATTTAGTTAGCATATACTTCTTCTTATCAGATACTATTACTGAAGAAAATGAATATGAACAAATTTTAAGCAATGAGTGAGAAGTAGTAAGAACAAAATTGTTATCCACTGATGGTTATAATAAAGTATATACCAACGTAAACAGTTACTGAATCCCACATCTTGATGATTCCTTTGGCTGCTGGTGACAAATAGAGCTGACTTTCTCTTCGTTGTTTCCAGCATTACACTGCTGTTGTTCCATTAACAACTTGTTAGATTCGCGTACAAATGGCATAGGATATACAACTAACAATACGGACGGTTGTTCTGGCAACGAATTTACAACAGACGATGATGGACTTGTAGCAGTTGATGAATGGGTGGATGGCATAATGGTAGTGCTAACAGTACAATCTGACATGGTGGTATTTGTGCCATTAGGGTAATTCGGATTAATTTGCTCACTGTTTTGTCCTGTGCATAACATTGTGTTAGGGTAAGCGCGTTTCTGACCATTTACTAAGTTACTACTGTTAAAACCTGACTGCAACAGCAAGGGTTTCTCAATTAGTGACATGGGCCCAGGTTTCAATTTATTAACAAGTGAAGCATTACTATTAGAACGAATGTTATTATTTTCTCTGTCACAATCAGAATTTGGAGTGGAGGAAGAAGCCACTGACATGGAGTTGAACTTATCATTAACAAATGATGTTAAATTTGAGTTGTTATTCAATTCGTCATTTTGATTTCTTATTAGATGCACATTTTCATCTGTTGAGTATCTCAGTCTTTGATACGAATTGCTTGATGGATGAATCTTCGGTGAGGGAATGAATTTGGATGAATGAGAACTCTTGTCCATTGGAAGTATGGTCTTTAAGGAATGGTTAATATTATATCTTGCTGATGGTAAAACAATTGACAGGGGACGTGCTTGTGAATGTGCTATTTTCATACCTTTCAATGGAGAATTGTTTCTATTTTCATCAGTTTTTGATGTATGAAATGGTAATTTAATTGATAAAGGACGTGCAGAAGATGAAGGAATTGGTAAAATTCTGCCACAGTTTCTTTTGATCCCTGAAACGCCGTTGATGTTGCTAGAAATTTCACCTTTGTTTGAGGTCATAAGAGTTGTAGTATTATTGTTTATGAAATTATCCCTAAGTGAACCACAGACTTTGCCAGGAGGTCTCTTGAAAGAGTGATTTTTATGGTCATAAATTTTCTCTGTAGAAATCCGGTTGTATAAATGGAAATCCTTTGATTTTACACATTGTATCAAGCTTTTATTTTCTGACACTCTTCCATTGCATGAAATATAATCCATGTCTGTTGCTAAACTATATTCTCTTTTTAAAGAAATCTTGCTGTAAAGCTCACCACACTCCATGAGATTACTGTTTACGTTCACATTTCCTGGTGTATTTGATTTGAAAGATTGAGCACCATCATGTATACCATTCTTGATATTTGGAAAAGTTTCATTGTAGAAATGATGCGTTGGTGATTGAACATACGAAGCTTTCACTTGTGGATCTTTAACAGAATTGTTATTTATGTTATTGAAAGGAATGCTGTTGCTACATGGTACAAAACCTTGAAGTAGCACACTATTGGAAGGAACCTGCGGCAGATTGCGTCTATGGGTACCGTAATGGAAGATAGCAGCTGAAGTCAAGGTTTTATGTCACACTTCTTGAAGGAATTTGAGAGGACATACTCCCTGCCGACTGTCACCACTGCGAATCATCACCATGCCATCCAACTCCTCTCCCACTTGTATCACAATCTGAAACAAAAATTACGTTACTATCATTTTGCATATTCATGAACTGCAAATAGTCTTAAATGCACATATCATGAGTTTCTTTTAATATTCACTGGGAAAAATAGTAGTGTATGATTTCTCTGAATACACAGTGTTTAGTTTGCCCTAGTGTCCATCACATTCAAAACCATTTAGAGGGTTCCTTCCTTCAAAAGTAACTAAATTTTCATGGAATTCTTAATAGTATATGTTTAATTTGAGGTTTCCATAGCAAAAACTATGAAGAATATTAACCACTGGGATGTGTAGTATGATATAATTGCACTGACATTTCTGAGGAATGCACTACCTCCATCATCAGATTCAAGATTTTTGAAACATTCGTAAAATTCTTCCAGACTGCACCACATTAAATCTTAGAAGGGAGTATTCCACATTCCGTATTGAGGGTGTGGGTTTCCCCAGCACTTAGACCGGTTACTGGTTTAGAAGGGAGTACCTTCCATTATGGAGGTATCTTTCTTGAGACCATGAAGTCTTCACAATTCACACAGGGTTTATGTGAAAACAAATGTTAAGAAGAAAGCGGTCTTCTGGGATGTGGCACCGTGTAGGTGTGGTGTTAACCAACGTTTTGGAGGAACGTATCACCTCCATCTTCAGAGTAGAAAGAAAAATAAGAAAATCTGCAAGCGAAGCGATAGTGAGAACAGTTGCAAGCTGTCTCTTCACTTGCAGATTTTCTTATTTTTCCTTCTACCCTGAAGATGGAGGTGATACGTTCCTTCGAAACGTCGGTTAACACCACACCTACACGGTGCCACATCCCAGAAGACTGTTTTCTTCATAGTTCCGCCATGAAAACCTCAAATCTTACAAATGTTAAGAAGTTGTGTTGACAACCTAATTATTTATAGACTTACATTTTTAACTTGATTATTTTACTTTTCCAAAAACAGTTAACTATTCAAGTAAGGAATCAGTTCTACATACACTTAAAGTAGTCTTCACTAGACTGACCTGATCTCTCAACAACATGAGGCCATTATCACCATCTGAGACCTGCAAGTTATGAGTTACTTGCAGTGGTCTCTCGCCAGGCTGCAACTTAATAACATATTTGGAAGGGAAATAGCCAATACGACCCAGACATTTTCCCTTCCACCAATCTTGATCAGATGTGTCAATAACTGTTACTTTGTATCCAGCCCTGAAAAGTAACATATTTGTAATGCTCACTAGCTTAGCATGTGGGGTTAAGACAACTGAGAAAATTGAAGACTTGTAGAAATTCAGACTATTTAAGAACACACTAAAATATAATGACACTGCAGCAGAAGACACTCATTATTCTTAGAAAATGAAACAATTTAAACTCTTTTGAACGATATACGTCTTTGGTATAAATGGAAAATATAGTGACCATTTTCACTGTATGAACCAAATGAAGAGTGCTTGTTTTAATTATTGAGTATGACCTGGAAACATGAAAGAATTCATACTTACTTTAGATCTAATTCATCTGGATGCCTTGATTTGAAGTTATATAGCACTACGTATAAATTGGTTGGTAACAACCGATGCGGTTTCTGAAAACAAAGAATGATGATTCAGCTAATGTTTCTTTTTGAATTAAATAGATCCTTGTGTATGGTGATAGGGGACAGGGATATGTATGATTAAAGTAAGTGGAAATTCATCAGGCCTCTTAATAAATGGCATGGGAAATTCCCTGTTTGCTGACCATGTGACTATAATGCAAAAATTATGAGAATGATACAGGCAATTTTATGAATATGCAGCAGTAAACGTGTATTAGACGATTTGTTGAGGAATTTAAAATAGAGAGTCGTTATAATATGATAAACATTTCTAGGAGTGACTGATTTTTCAACTCATTGGAAACAGGGAACTCAGTGTACATATTTAGACATTTATTTTGATGCAGACAATTAATACATTAGATATAGTAGCAGTTGTTATCAACTGTTCATAAAATTTTCTTAGAAAGATCAAATGAAGAGAATGAGATAGATGAAATATGTGGGACTAATATGTGATATAAGAAATGAAGAAAAGATGAAGTACTTCATCAGGAAACATATAGGGAGGACCTAGGTGTAGGTGAGAGGATAATACTAAAATTGATCTTATAGAAACAGTGTGAGGTACTGCACTTAACTGGGTCATGATACAGTCCAGTGGTGGGCTATTTTAAGTATGGAAATAAATATAAAGGGTGTATGAAACATAAGGAATTTCTTGATCAGCTGACTGACTAAACAGCCACAATATCAGCTTCTTAAAAAGGACTATGTTGCATGTAATTAGTTACCTAATGATCAGTATCCTGAAACACAAATAAACTGAAACATTGGGTTGAAGGAAGTACTGAGAAATGTTTGAAATTGCTTGAGGTTGTGTACTTACTGGCGAAGGACAGGGCGACGTACTAGCAGACGACAGCGACTTCTCATTGTCATCAGGCAGTTCCACAGAGCTCATTCGCATGTTTCGTGCTGAGAGCAGTCGGCGGTTGTGCACAGGACTTGATGGTGCTGTAATCACACTTAATTCGTCTCAAGTATCTAAACTGGTCTTCGCTTCCAGTAACGTTTGAATGCTTTGTTATGAATAATGCAAAAGACTGATATTCTCAATGGTGGAATGTCTTTATCTTATATAGTAGGTGCTTACCAACTTTTCCTGAATGCAGAGATATATCCTATCTCAGTTATGTTTCAAGGAAAATGGAATGGAAGCACATATGAAGCAATATGAGAGAGGATGTTGTAGAGACTGAAAAATTATCAAGCAGTCAGAACAAATAGGAAAAGTCTAAATTCTTCAAAAAAATGGGACATAATAAGAAATTTGTTTAACACATTATTAAAAAAAAGTAAAGCTATCCCTGTAACAGGCCGTGAAGGCCCATAGGGTTGTAAGACGTTGAGGGTCCCACATTATCTAGACAATCGGCTCAAAGTGTGGCTGGAAGGATTAGATCAATTGAAAAAAATCCAATGACCTCAACGGGACTTGAACCCACGACCGTCCGACTTGTAGCATTGTGCCTCAACCAACTATGATACCGCGTGCCCCCGTCTAACACATTACACACAATAAGTACATTTTAAGGATGCTGTCACAGGTTCCACCAAATCAGACACTTTGGCAATGAATTTTTTGCAGGGCTGGTGTCAGTGACGTCAAAATGATTACTCGTAAGCACCGGAACATATTTTAATCATTTTGTCAAATATCACAGGTTTCTTCCATATTTCATTTTGTACTTAGAGAAATTTATAAATAGAGTGTCAAGCAAGCTTACTGACTTGAGGCACAGACCAATCTTCTATATGAAGTTTATTTTTCTAAACTGAACTCTATTAAGAAACATAGTCATATTTCTGTTTACACATTTCAAAACAATTGAATTAGCTTGTAAGAAATTACTCATACTTTCTAATTTACCATCATTTTCAGTGATAGGAAGTATATTCTTTCAAATATCGGCTAGGGAGTTTAGTCCTGGAGACAAACTATGAAACAAAGTCTACAGTATGAACAGAAATTATTCGGATAACCAAGGAAAATCTAGGAAAGAGATGAAATGAATATATTATTATTGTTATTATTATTATTATGAAGAAGAAGAAGGGGTGAAGGAGGGGGTGATGTAATACAAATCACTACCATTGTGATTAAGAGCACAATGAGAAAGAGACGACGATTCATCTGTTCACCATAATGAAATGTCAGTATCTTGTTTAATGTAGAATTTAATTCCTTTATTACAAATATTAATTTTGTTTTTATCCTTTGGTGATGATAATGTGTTGAATGACACTGAAATTAGAATGAAGTCTTAGTCCTGGAAATCAGCACTTAGATCATGACCAGGTGCTACTCAAGATTCCAAAGGATTCTGATGATGGTGTATAACATGTGTAATTACTGGCTTTCTGGATTTTGCCCATCGTCTGCTCTTCTTAATCTACATGACTCTTCCAATCCAAATTCTTATCAATTTGCAGACCCAAAAATTTTATCACAGGAACTTCATTCATAAACAAATTCCCACTAGCAACTGCCAGAGAGTTATAAGACTGTTTTAGAGCAAATCTAATAATATTACTTTTAGTGATATTTCAGGCCAACTTATTAGCTGTAAACCAATTTACAATAAGAGACAAAGGATAAGGTTCAAAAACACAATATTCCAAAGGATCCTAAGGTTACGGCTGCTGCTCATATTTGAAGGAGTAAGGCTTATGGAATACGGTTCTTTGGGTGTCCTCTGTTCAGTCTGCAACAGTTTCTTCTCTCCAATTTGAGTTACAGTTTTTATATATCATAATATGAAATTTTAAATATGACAGTTCAGAAGTTGGTAAATTGTTTGACACATAGTTTTTATCCCCAAATTAAGTTCACTGCATTCTGTATGCCCACTGTCAGAATACCTCTAGAGGCACTTCACTAGCAATTTCATAAGTAATTCCACTGGGAGGAGTTAGCAGTCAGAACATGATATTAACTGCTACCATCCATCTAATGCTGAGGTGTGTGAATATATGAAGCCTTATTCCTGGAATATCTAAGGTACTGTGCTTTCATACAGACATAACATTATACGCATTACTTTTACAACAATATGGGTTTGTAATCCTAAATGTACAATTTTGTAAACTCACACAAGTCTAACATTTAAAAATGTCAACAGTACAGTTAATTACATAATTAAGAATTACTGTAGTATAACTCCTGGTGCTATATGGACATCACGAGAACTTACTGCTGGAAACTGAGTAACATCAATGTTGTGGGCATACTGTTCAAATATAGCAGAGGATTGTAAAGAAACCTGTGATAATTGGCAGCAGGTATATATTGAGAAAAAATACTTAACAATAAAAGACATATTTGATATATGAAAATGGAAGCGAAGGTTATACAATATTCTTTGTCAACACTCATTACTAGAATTCTTATATCTACTTACATGACATACACATGTCCAAAACAATTATGTGCAGCTACAGAACATTTAAGGTGTGACCAAGAAAAAAAATACACTGCAAGATGCATGCAAAGAAACAAAGAATTTAAAGCTTTTTATATACAGCTTGATTCAATACTAAACTAAAAGAACAGTAAGAGTATTCAAGCAAATAATACTGCAATTAAATTATCATAAAATCTAACAATATTTTAATAAGTGTATGTGTATTAGAAACAGGAAACAACTTATTACAATAACATGCATACATTTATACTGATGTTTGAAAGTGATGTTCTTAAAAATTAGTGTCTCAGATTGCAGAATAATTCTGAGATTATAAAAACAAATAAAAATTAAATGAACAGAATGAAACATTTTCTGATTAAATTATATAAAATTCTGACTCATTTGCAGCTCATAAGAATAACTAATTATATTAATAATGTTATGCTGGAGTTTGTTCATTGTGTGAGATATATTTCATATATGTGACATTTCAGGAATCTGGTCTTATGCTGGCTTGTTGTCACACTGCCAACTGACACATTTTACTTTTCTGACATATTAATGACAGCTCTGATTTTTGATGGAGTTTTATTATTATTATTATTATTATTATTATTATTATTATTATTATTATTATTGTTGTTGTCTGTTTGTTTGTTTAATTATATGGATTAATTTATTTTTCCTCCAATGTTTACCTTTAATTGGTTTTTGACCTTATGTTGTGTTTGTCCAGTATGTAACTACTTGTATCTACACTGTGCTGTGTCTGTAATTGGCCTTACGACTGCTGGCTCAGCACATGAATAATAAAGAATTTAACTGAATTGAATTATTATTATAAAGTGTCTTATTTCATATTTTGTTTGCAAGATTTTTGTTGTTTCTTTCTAAGTACTTGTGCTAACTTTGTAATTGGCCTAAGGGCCGTTAAATTTGCATGTTAATAAACAAGAATTTAAAGAACTGGATTGAATTGAATTATTTTTTAAGATTAGTAGTGATAGTGTGTATCAAATCCAGTTGCTTTGAAATACTTTGTCAGACAGAGTAGTCTAGCATTCAAAAGGAAGAGTGTCAATTCCAGCCATTACCTTCATTCATAAACAAGTAATAACAATTCTGTCAGGGTGAATTACATAATATGAATTACAAAATATGCAGTCAATTGCAAGATCAATTATGTGAACACACATTAGCTACAAATGTACAGTCATTATATCATGATTCCAGGTGATACCACTAACAATTTTGACACGCGATATGTATAAAATGGATTATATAATACAGAATGATGAAGTTGGTTTAAAGGTGCTTTACAATAACAGATGTTCAGAGTTATGTGAATGGCTAATAGAAGGGAAATGCAGCCATGACATATTTTAAGGAAATACATATTGTTGGCTTTGCAAAAATTTGCAAATGATATGACGAGACCGACTGAGGAGAATTTTGGAATAAGGGTTGGTTGTTTTGCTGCTTCATCAACTCATTCTGACAAAACGTTAAGGTAAAGTTGTTCCTGTGCTTAATTAATTAGACACCATGCCATGAAGATGTATAGGGGAGTGGAGTTATTGCTCCACCACTTTTGATCTTGACACTAGATGGAGGTGGGTAGTCAGCTACATGTCTACCAGAGGAAAGAACCCACAGTACCCACTGAATAGGAGGTTGGGTGGGCCCAGAGCTGGTCTGGATGCTGTGGACAGGAGAAAAACCCCTTGCACCTACCAGGAATCGAATTCCTGCCATCCAGCTCATGGCCTCCAACTATATCGACTATCGAACTTCAACTTTATTTATTGCTAGTGGGGTGGGACTAAGTCCCTTGTACTGCGGCCACTTCTGGCCTACTATACCAGCCCCAGATGATAGGTGAGGGTGATTGTGGAGAAATTGGTGGAATGAAGATTGGCAGGGGAAACCGAAGTACTTGGAGAAAACCTGCCCCAGCGCCACTTTGTCCACCACAAATCCCACTTGACCAGACCCGAGATCGAACCCGGGCCGCTGCGGTGGGAAGCCAGCAACTAACCACTTGAGCTCTGGTGCAGCCCTAACCTGAACTTAGTATGATAACATTGGTAAAGAGGAAGACTATACTTCAATCAGCAGATGGAAATGACCAGATTTCAGAGAATAATCAACTATGGTACTCAAGGAGATTTGAAGTTTGAATAGTGTATGTGGATTATAATCAGTGGCGTAGCATGAATACCGAAAGCAGGGAAGCAACTTTATATACGTGTATATACATTTTTTCTACATACCCTATAGTTTCTATCTTCTATTTAAAAGAAAACAGCTAATAGTTTAATATGTATTGTATATTTAAGCTAATATATTAAAATAACACATAATTATCAACACAATTTTATAGTCATCAAATGACAGGGTTGTGAACCTGGAATATAATTAATGCTTACTTTATTGTTTATAATTCAGCTCGATTCTTCTGTTTTTCTTGGCAAACAGATCAATAACCTCATCTAGAAAGCTCGGTTTGGACTGCAGTTTGTTTAGGAAGGACTTTTCAATGTTCAT